GCCTAATTCATCGTTTAGGACTTAAATCCGTAAACTTCGAATCAAATTGGCATTCTTGGGATTGGTGTTACTCTCGTGTGGGTTCGATAGTGTTCGTTGTTATCTGGGTTCGCATCAGGTGGTATTAGAGCTTAGGCTTCAGGTTCGAAGTTATATCTTTCAATTTGTCTTGTTGAGTCAGTTTCATTGTTTTCCTTTTGCTCTTGTGTTCTTCATCGTTCTTCGTTAGAATCTTATTTTAGATCCGTCAAAATAAAAAAAAATTCGAAGTTGTTTTTCGGGTTCATCTAGAGTCAAAACTCAATTCTGTTTGTTGTGTTAGTGTCCTAATCGTTTTCCCTTCGTAAGAGTCCACAAAATTTTTTTTTACTGTTCACGTCCGTACTGTCGTCACTGTTCACGTGTCAAAAAAAAATTTTAGTTCCTCCAAAACTTTTATTTATTGTCTTAGTCTTTTAACTTCTTGATTATTGAGTCTTGAACTATTATGCCACGAGTTCAAAGCCACCTATTGTTCTTGAAAACACTGATTGGAAGCAATTGAGAGGTAAAAGGCTGAGTGGTGAGATTATTTGAGAGAAAAAACCTAAATTGAGTGATTTCCGAGCGATATAAAAAGTGAGGCATATAAAAATTAGTATTTAGGATGTCTTGCAGCGAAGGGTCAAACTCAAGTCGAGTTGGTGCTCAAACAAATATGCCAGAGGATGTGATGTGTAGGTTTGAGTGAATGTTGAAGAATATGGGTGATAGGATAGAAAGGATTGACACATTGGTTACCAATTTGCGTATGGAACAACGGGTTGAGGTGCCTAATGCTAGGAGACCGGGACGGTGGGAACCGAGGATGGAATTGCATGATGAATTTGGTTATGGTGGTGATGTGGATGACGTTGGGTTCAATGGAGCTGAATTGGGTGGAATGAGGAATAGAGGAGACAGATTTGAAAGTTGGGGCCGAAATAATTATGGAGATGACGTGGATGGAGGTATGGGCAACATCAAAATGTCCATTTCGCCATTTAAGGGTAGGAGTGACCCGGAGGCATATCTAGAATTGGAGAAAAAGTTGGAGCTTATCTTCGAGTGTTATAATTATCCGGAGGAGAGAAAAGTGAAGCTTGCAGTTTTGGAGTTCACTGATTACGCCATCACTTGGTGGAATCATGTGATCACTTCAAGGCGGAGGAATGGGAAGAGACCAATCCGAACATGGGATGAGTTGAAGGCAGTTATGAAGAAGAGGTTTGTACCTAGCCATTACCATAGGGAGCTTTATCAACGGTTGCAGGGGTTGTACCAATGGTCGAGAAGTGTGGAGGATTACCACAAAGAAATGGAAATTTTAATTATTCAGGCTAATGTGGAAGAGGACCAAGAAGCCACCATGGCACGTTTCTTGAATGGGATGAACAGAGACATTGCTAATGTGGTCGATTTGCTACACTATGTAGAACTTGAAGACATGTTGCATGTGACAATGACAGTGGAGCGGCAATTGAAGAGGAAAGGGCCGGCTAGGACTCCATCGGGTCATAATTCATCTTGGAAGCCTAGAGGGGAAGAAGAAAGGGTTGATGTGGCTATGGCAAACAATAAAATCGGCGCACCGAAGGCAAATGAAGAGGTTGTTGGCAATACTACAAACAAGGTGGGTTCACAAAATACTAGGAGTCGGGACATTACGTGCTTCAAATGTTTAGGGAAGGGGCACATTGCATCTTAATGTCCTAATAAAAGAGCAATGATTTTGAGTGCCCACGGGAAAGTGTTTAGTGATAACGATGGAGATGGGATGCCCAAGCTAGAGGATGTTAGTGGTGGTGAAGTGGTGGAGTATCCGGTGGACGGTGAAGTACTTGTGGTTATGCGCGCACTTAACACTCAAATCAAAGTGGAAAGAGAGGAGCAACAACTGGAAAACATCTTCCATACCCAATGCCATGTTGCAAACAAGGTATGTAGGTTAATAATTGATGGGGGATGTTGTACAAACGTTGCTAGTACTAGGTTGGTTGAAAAATTATGTTTAACTACAATTAAACACCCTAGGCCATAAAAATTAGAATGGTTAGATGACCGTGGAGAGGCTAAGGTGAATAAACAAGTAGTTGTTAATTTTTCTATTGGGAGTTATAAGGACGAGGTGTTGTGTAATGTGGTGCCTATGGATGTGGGTCATATTTTGTTGGGTAGGCCATTGCAATATGATCGAAGGGTTATGCATGATGGGTTTAGAAATTGGTATAGCTTTGAAATGGGTGGAAAATCTATTACGCTTGTACCAATGACGCCGCAACAAGTGTATGATGATCAAGTGAGGTTGAGAGGTGAGAATGTGAGAAAAAATAAAGATAAACAAAACGAGAGCTCGAGAGAAAATGGAGAGGTGGCTAGGAGTGATAAAAATTAAGTGGGGCCACAAGAAAGAAAAGAACGAGCACTTGAGCGAGAGAAAATTATAAAGCGAGCTTTTTCGTGAAAAAAGGTGAGTCCGAGCAGGACTTGGAGAGGTCTACCACATCCCTCCCTATTTTGTATAACTCTTTGATGCATGACTATGAGACGTTGATGCATTCGAATTTTCGTAAAGGGATAACACCTTTTGAATATTCAGTCGATGCATCGCATTTGGAGAGCATCATGAACTTCAACGCGGGACTATCTTTCATGGCATTACGGGGTTTAAAATATCAATCAAGGAGTGGACACGGGCCAAGTATTTGAACCAGGTGCAGATTCGAGGTCGAATCTTCTCGAAGAGGGAGGGGATGATGTGATACGGGTTTCACCAAAACGAACCAAAGCATTGGAGTTTGATTGGAAGAAACCTAAACCAAGTTCGGGTCTTCAGGAAGCTAATACGGGTGACACAATTGATGGATCGAGGCATGGAGCATACTATGTTGAAGTCCATGAGCTAAGTGACAACTTTCATATTGGGGTCGAAGTCTGGAAGCCTATGAAACAACGTGATTCGAGCAGCCGAAGAAGGGACCAAACCATAACTCCATGCGACCGCACCGTGCTGCAGGCATGCAGTCGCACAGGTGGCTACCGAAACTCGAGAGGTGGCAACATCGTCAACCATGCGACTGCACCAAGTTCTACCATGCGGTCGCATGGGCAAAACTGAAGACTCGAATTTTCAATTTTTGAGAGAATTTTAATTTGATTCAATTTCTTATTTTTGGCAAGTTTCATTATTTTCGGACTCTAGAATTTCGTGGTTTCCTTGTTTCCTATGGTAGTATAAATTATTTTCTATCTTTCATTATTAAACAGACTTTGATTTGAGAATTAATTCGGAGAGGCGATTTGCTTCCAAACCTTTGTTCTTCGGGATTTTAAAGTTATTAAGGGATTCGGTTGGGATTTCTTGTGGCGTTGGCAACCTTGGGTGAGGTTCTTAAATTGTGTATTTAGGAGGTCTTCGATTTAATATATCGTTTGTAGCCTAATTCATCGTTTAGGAATTAAATCCGTAAACTTCAAATCAAATTGGCGTTCTTGGGATTGGTGTTACTCTCGTGTGGGTTCGATAATGTTCGTTGCTATCCGGGTTCGCATAACTGGGATTCTTGTTATATTGCTTACCTCAAGTTGTCTTATAATACGTTTACTACGTTGTTGATTGCATTTGTACAATCTACACTCAGATTGACTTGTTTTATTGTTGTGTTCTAAGTACACAATATTTATTCTAAATATTCCACATACATTAGAACACGCAGTCAACCTGGTTTAACACCTTGTCTCAGTTGTTGGTGGAGGAAGTAAAACTCATATATCGTACTATCCCTCCATCTCCCGTCTTTGTGTTTCATTTTCTAATAGAAAACCTATGGTAAGCATATTTTTTGTAGAATTCAAATACCTCCATCATGTTAGCAAATTTCATACCAACCTCCGGCACAATAATCACATTTTTAACACCTAACATTTTCTTAGCCAAACTATCATGGCCTACAAAATCAGATGAGTCAATCTCCACTCTTACAGGAAATAATATTTCACAAAATTAGACGAGTTAATAATATGCAAGCGCATTTGTAAGCAATGCGCAATAACAATTGCTTTATATTTATATCATGCATCGAAAATCAACAAGGAAATACCCATCAAATTATAGGAATTGTTGTGAAATCTACAAAAATTAGATTCAGTTGGTGTCCACTATACTGAAACTCAAGGTGTAGTCATTCTTGAATCATTCGCCAATTTTCTATATGGGATGCTTTGTGGTACCAAGTTGTTTAATAAAAGAGAAACAGTACTCGAAAAAATGAAGCATACCGTCATTGATGACCTTGTCAACCATGTCTTTGGACATATTACGTGAATCTCCTTTTATATAGGTATACTTCTTTGCATTGAGTTTGGGAAGAAGAAAAAGGAAATGTTACATTGGAATTCATCTCTCAATAATACACTTCGAATGTAGAGAAAAACAAATTTTACCAGTTGAGCTAGTGTTGCCTTCCAATCCACTGGCGAGCACATCGAAAAAAGAGATCCATTAGTAGGAATGTGACTGTCGAGAGACCAGGTGGGAGTAGGAAGGGAAAGTGAAAATTCCCAGGGTTTTACATTTCAATGTTTTGGGTTTTATTTATTATATTTTTTAATGGCGAGAAATTGACTTAAAATGCATGGCAGCAATATGTGGTTACTTTATGGACACTAGAACTTGTTTGGTACAAATTTTAAGTCAATTAAAATTAATTTTCTGATCGTTATTTCATTATTTCATCAGTTATTTTTGAATTTTTCTCTCATAAATAGAACCCATTTTATTTCTAACGGTCAAAAAATCAATTATCAAAATTCTTATCAAACAAGCACTAAGTGTAACATTATGCTATTTTTTTTATCAAACTTGTTTTCAATTTTATTTTTACTAAATACAATCATTTTATATGTTGACTCTGATCTTTCCTTATTTTAACCGCATAGACTTTACATTTTACAATTATTTTTCAAATGAATAAAGGGGTAGAAAAGCCAGAAGTCATATAACGAAAGCAAAAATGGTTTGTCTTCTCTTTTCCCAAAACCGAAAGTGATACGCCGGCTGCACGAAACGGCAACAGATCTCACACAGCTGCGACGATTGCTAATCGAGATCAACTTTTCTAGGTAATGTACACTTCCGAATAGATTCTTTTCTTCTTCACCACATCACAATTCTAG